ATGCAGTGTATATGTTTGGGATGTCCCGAGGTATAAAGAAGTTTAAGGTTGACAGTGTTGGAACAATCTTCTGTGTAATAAAATAACTTGAAATAAATTCAAAACAAAATAAATAATAACATACCGATTTATTTATCGAACGAATTAAAATTAAGACCAAGTCGAGTTGTGACACTCTATCCTTAAGACAGATTTGCCCGCTACGGTACTTACGGTTGAGTGGCGTCTATCTCCCAGGTACAATGAATCTTCACAAATTGTAGTAGCACTCTAAACAATTTGTTCGGCAAACCAAACCTGTGTTCTAACTCTCTGAATATTTATTCCTAAAATTATAAATGAAGAATAATGCACTAAAGAGAAATCTAGACAGCAAGAGAAAAATTTCATATTGAAATTCTCTAGGACTCAAAACTGTTGGAAAGTGCTGGATTTAAATAGGCCAAACAGGTTGATCACACTTTGGAACAGAATAAGATCAAGCTGAACAAGGTGCAAGATTTTCAAACAAATATGAAAAGTAGCCATGCACAGGAACGGTTATTAAACCTTCCAAACAATTTGAAGAAGAACCATAGGTGGACTAATATTCAAAATAGTTGGAATATATATATTATTAAACTATTTAGAATAGTTTAATCAAATAAAGCCAAAAGTTGAATAGATTTATTAAAACCTTGAATAGGATATAAATATAAATCTATTGACAACTTTAAGAAACCACTATTTGAATTTAGAATTAAATTAAATTCCCAAAATACAAACTTTAGAAACCACTTAGGAACCCAAAATTTGAATTTAGAATTAAATTAAATTCCCACAATAATTTTTATTGAAAAAATTCAAATGAATTTTATCTAAAAAATTAATGTTAGACCTGAAAACGACGTCAACTTCCCATTCACTCATAAATGGTTTTGATGTTCCGTCTTCACCGTGTGACTTGCCACGCGGCAAGGAACACGTCACCTCTTCGGACCCACCCCAAAAGACATTTGGGGCCCACTTAATTTTGGCCTCAAAGTTGGTCCAAAATAAGCCATATAAAACGCCATTTTTCCAACAATCCCCCACATGAATGGAATTTGACGGAGAGAAAATGCAACAACATAATCTATTACAGAGAGTACAGAAATTAAAAATATTCTGCAAAGGATAGGTAGCTTTTTGGCTTTGAACCTTCCCTTGTGAGACACTATCGGATTTACTAGCTAACCAGTGAACAGGATGTCTTGAACTGTTCAGCCGTTTGTGTAAACCAAGACAATAGAACTCACACAGTATATCTCCAGACACAGTTTAGTTCTCACTATTGTGTTCATTTTGGCCCTGAACAACCTGGTATTTCATGAGTGCTCTAGAGAATTGTAGCCCTTCACAAATCTCATAGAACCGGCCCAGTTCACACTCACATAGGTGATTCTTATGAAGAGTATCCTGCTATACTCCACTAGGTTAACCTAGATATAAGAATCATTAAAAGTTTTACTTAACCTAAAACGCTGCAGACATTATTTTATCATAGAAATGGGTAGGAGTTAGACTCCCCAGTGATCCTTCTGAGTCATTCACAACTCGGTTGTCCCTTTGAACCTAGATCTTGGGATCTCCAGTCAACTAGGTTGGGTTGCCGTTGTGGTAACTCTTATTTAATAGGCTTAAGTCCCGTTCTCCTCGATGAATTTTCAACTAACTCTCTTGCTAACCCTTTGGTTAGTGGATCCGCTATATTGTCCTTAGACTTAACATATTCTATGGAATATAATTCCATTAGAGAGAAGTTGTCTCACGGTGTTATGTCGACGACGAATGTGTCGTGACTTACCGTTATACATATGACTCTGTGCTCTACCAATTGCTGATTGACTATCACAATGTATGCATATAGAAGACACCGACTGGATTAAGTTTATGAATTTATCTATTTTTTGGATAATATGCTATTTGCTAATTATTTTTATTATTATTTATTGTTTTTGGGAAAGACTAAAAAAATTAGCAATTTTTTGCTTTTTTGTTTGCATTACTTCTAAATAGTTTGAATGCTCTCAATTGGATCTTAGTTGTGAGTCTATGAAATATTTCTTTTGAGATTGTGGTTTGAAGATTTTTGAAATGGATGCTCCTTGCATGGTGCTGCCACTGGATATCTAGTATAATTCAGCCCAATGTTACGAGTAAATCGAAGATATCTTAGAACCCTTATAATTGCTTTCCAGTGTTCTACTCCCGAATTACTCATATATCTACTAATTTACTTACTGCATAAGCTATATCTGGGTGAGTGCAGTTTATCAAGTACATTAAGCTTCCAATAATTTGGGCATACTCTAATTGAGAAATACTTTCCTATACATTCTTAGAAAGATACAAATTAATATCTACAGGTGTTCTAACAAGATGATCATCATCTTTGCTGAATTTGTCAAGTATTTTCTCAATGTAATGAGATTGTGACAAAGCATAACCTTCTGATGTTTTGGTAATTTTCATACCAAGAATTACATCAGCAATGCTCATGTCCTTCATGTCAAAATGTTTATTCAATATTTTCTTGGTAGTTTTAATCATGTCATTATTACTACCAATGATGAGCATATCATCTACGTAAAGACATACAATGACATAACCTTTATCTGTGTTTTTAATATAAACACATTTGTCACACTCATTAATTTTAAATCCATTTGACATCATTGCCTTGTCAAATTTCTCATGCCATTGCTTTGGCGCTTGTTTTAAACCATATAATGATTTAACCAATTTACACACTTTCTTTTCTTTTCCTGGAACAGAAAAACCTTCTGGTTGTTCTATGTAAATTTCTTTATTTAACTCACCATTTAAGAAAGCGGTTTTCACACCCATTTGATGAATTTCTAGATTGTATAGAGATGCAATGACAATTAGCATTCTGATGGATGTTATTCTAGTAACCGGTGAGTATGTGTCAGAATAGTCTAGACCTTCTTTTTGTCTAAATCCTTTGGCCACAAGTCTTGCCTTGTATTTGTCAATTGATCCATCCGTTTTCATTTTTCTTTTGAAAATCCACTTGTACTCAAAAGGTTTACAACCTGGTGGCAAGTCCACTAATTCCCAAGTGTGATTTTGCAAGATGGATTCAACTTCACTGTTGACAGCTTCTTTCCATAAAGGAGCTTCAGGACTGGACATAGCCTCTTTAAAAGTTAAAGGCTCATTTTCTAACAAATATGTTAGAAAATCTGGACCAAACGATTTTGAGGTTCTAGCACGTTTACTACGCCAAGGTTTCTCTTCCTCATTTTGATCTAACTCTTGTTCTTGATCATGTTCTTGATCCTTACTAGTAATAGCATCATGAGATCTTTTATTGTTACTAGTTTCCTGTCCAGTCTTATTTGGAAATACATGTTCAAAGAATGATGCATTTCGAGACTCAATAATAGTATTTACATGCATTTCGAAATATTCTGATTTATGAATCAAAAACCGATATACACTACTATTATTGGCATAACCAATGAAAATGCAATCAATGGTCTTAGGACCTATCTTAGTCTTTTTAGGACTAAGAATAGCCACTTTAGCCAAACACCCCCACACTTTTAAGTCTTTGTAGGATGGTACTCTTCCATGCCACAATTCATAAGGTGTTTGATTCACTTTCTTTCGGGGTACTTTATTTAAAATATAATTAGCAGAAAGTATTGCTACTCCCCACAAGTTCTAAGGTAATCTAGAACTGATTAACATGGCATTCATCATCTCTTTTAAAGTCCTATTTTTCCTCTCAGTAATTTTATTTTGCTGAGGTGAGTAAGAAGCAGTGGTTTGATGAATTATTCCATGTTCTTTACAAAACTCACCAAAAGGTGATTCATATTCACCACCCCTATCACTTCTAAGTTTCTTGATTTTCTTACCAAGTTGATTTTCAACTTCATTCTTATATTGAATGAAAGTTTCCAAAGCTTCATCATTGGTTCGAATTAAATAAACATAACTATATCTAGTATAGTCATCTACAAAAGTGATAAAATACTTTTTCCCACCTCTAGTTTGAATTGATTTAAAATCACAAATGTCACTATGAAGTAATTCAAGTGGTTCCGTACTTCTTTCAATTAAATGAAAAGGAGTTTTAGA